AATGTGTAACAAACGAACCGAAATCTGTTCCTACAATGCACTGCCATCCCGGTCCATACGTCTTGTCAAATTCCTTCCAAAAAAAAAAAAGCAGCACACAGCAAAATCAGTTGCCAAAAAGTTAATTCATGTCTCCAAAACATAGCATATTGTTCATAAGCAAGCACTTGTCAGATAAATTTTGATGTACAAACATGGGCTACGCCGACACCTTAATTCATATTAGTCCCTAATTAATTACCTTTTTAATGAAGCGGCCTATCTCAGTAGCCTCAGTGACATCAAAGACATCGAGGGCTTTCGATGCTAAGACAAGTGCATCCTGCTGCATGGTTTGAAGCATGTCTGTCTCAACAATGATTGCCTTGCCTTCTAGCATGGCTACCAAGATGCAGAGCTAGTTTACCAAATATTTTTTCTTGATAGAAAGAGTGATGATAGAAAATTGAGCTATTTGGACCAAGTTGTGGATGAAGAGGCGGTAGTGGTGCAGCTTATATTGAGCTTGGGAAAAAAGGGCTGGTTCTAGTGAGGCAGCCACGTATATGTGGATATTCTTTGTTTGTGGCCACCATAAAGTTGTGCTGTGCATTATGCCAAATTAGTAACTAACGGTTTGTGGACTTGTAGCTAATTGCTCAAGCTTACACCACCAGTATAGTAAGTGAGCAGACAAATGCACTAGAGGTGCAGGGGAGGCATGAAAAATTGCCATCAGTTTCTGGTCCCAAATCGATTTTTGACTGGCTTCGTCATCGGGTTTCTGCCACGTGGTCCACCTTAATTCATGATTGCATGGATATGTTTTTGTTAAGTTTTGGAATTCTCCATTTTCCTTGGAACATATCCATCCAAATTCCAATCAATCATGAATCTTTACCTTCTGAGGATAAGCAATCCAGATATTTCAAAAGAAGGTGGCCAAAATGAAGTGGTTGCAAATAGATGTGGCATTTCCATGTGGAAACTAAAATTATTCAGTATATGCTGTCTCCTGGGGAATCTGGAAATGTTTGTTATATTTTTTCTGGCCAGTATAAAAAGATATGGGAAATACTCTTTGTGAACATTTTTTTATTCCTCTGACTTCTCTCATATTTAGATTACCTCCTTAAGGCGCTTAAAGACAATTATTCAAGTCACCCATTAATGAGATTGACAACCATCTTTCAAGTTTTTTCTGAAGACAACTTTTGTTTTTGCCCCATTTTCATTTGGCTGGGGAAAACCCAGTTGTCTAAAGCATCAAGACTTTTAATCACTTTCAGCATCAAGAAACTAGAATTTGCATACTGAGGCAAGGCAATTCTCATTTTGAGGTTTGCTACCCAACCTTTGTGGTTGGGGTACCTACTAACCTGAGGTTAATGGGCGTGCTTTGTGCGAGTTCACCCACCAAGGTCAAAGGTGAACATCTCACACCATGCCTCATCTAAGAAGGTTTCATTCATGCAACCAATCATTTTAATGCCCTGCTTAGTTACAAGCCCATGCTACTAGACTCGGCAATATGGAATGCTATGTAAGTCATTATAAATCTTTATATGATGACATATTTTCCCGATGCGGGACTTTGGCAGTTATTTTATGATACCATCTCGCGCGGCTAACAACTTCCTCCTGACCTTCCTGTCGCCCAATCCCATTTTAGCTAATGGATCTAATATCAAAAGGGTGTCCTGCTCGTGCGCCTCGCAAACAAGCTTGGCTCTTGGACTATTTTGGGTGACAGCGGTTTGTCTACACCTTGCTAAACTTTATTTGGTCTAAGGCCTATCAATGGGCCAAATTACACAGCGGTTTGTCTACACCTTGCTAAACTTTATTTGGTCTAAGGCCTATCAATGGGCCAAATTATCATTAGATCCAAAATATATTTTTCTCAAGTCCAATTCCATTGATAAGGGTGCCTCTGATTGGGAATTCTTGAGGGAGATTTGCAAACTAACATCTAGCATTAAGACTAGCAGAAATAAAATTCGTTAAAATAATTAGTAACAGTTGAAACTAACGAGAATTGGGGATGTAGCTCAAATGGTAGAGCGCTCGCTTTGCATGCGAGAGGTACAGGGTTCGATACCCTGCATCTCCAACTGATTTTTTTATTATTTATTTTTTTAGATGTATTGGGCAGTGGCTCACCTAAAGTCCTGCTAGATATTATAGTTCATCTGTCCTCCATCTCCAAGAATACTTACCGACTTAGTGGTCAGCATGAGAACAAAATGGTTCAAAATTCAGAGGCTGCCTTAGAAAACAACATGTCCATGTCCGATTCTGCCGTCCAAGCCTGTATCAAATCATCAAACCACCCCAAAATTCGGTTGTGTTTTCAACTTGGCTCACCGACCAACCTGTAATTACAGGTCACAGAAATTGGTTACTTTTTCAACACCAGCTGGCCTTGATCATATGCATCCTATAACCAAATAAAACCGCATTACAGCGTATACGTACCTACCTCGAAAGTTTATGCTACACGAGAAAAACTTAACTATCACAAGTTCATGCAATTTATTTCTCTATCTTTCTCGTCACGTGTTGTACGTACATTCTATAGATCTAATCTCACCCCAAAGGGACAGTTTTTCCATAACGTTTATGGTCTAAGATTCCTTGTCAAACTCCCAACTCATATATGGTGTGTTAGTAACGTGGGGTGGTGGAACTGCTCTGTTACGGAGTTAATATGTTAAATTATTTGTTTCTCCAACCAAAATGACATTCAACCCAATCCTGACAACCAACGTGTCAACCACATTCCCTGCCTGAAACGCAACGTTTCCTCCCTCACCACACCATGCCACCTGTCACCTTCCTCCTCCCCCAATCGTTAATAGAATATATTCTTCGCCACCTTTCCCTCTCAACCATCCACCCCCCACCCCCCAATATTGCACATCTCTCCTTCCCTTTATATTTCCATATACAAAACACCTACATTTCCTCATTTTTTATATTTTTCTCTCCCTTCTCTTTAGCTGAATTTCTATTAACATCGCCACTACCACCACCGCCACCACTACTACCACCAATTAGGCGACGAGACACGACATATATTGATGGCACGTGGTCTCTTCGCCTGCTTTGGATCAAAAGGGGTTGAGGGTACGCCCCGAGAAAAGCACGCGGGAGCGACGGCGGACATTTCTGCTGAGGAGCAGCAGCGGAGCGGGCCGGTTCTGGTAGAGCTGTTCTCGTCGCAGGGCTGCACCACCTCGCCGGTGGCGGAGCTGCTGGTGTCCAGGCTTGGGAGGGGGGATTTTAATGGGATGGACCTGCCCCCTGTGGTGGTCTTGGCCTACCACGTGGACTACTGGGACTACATGGGCTGGAAGGATCCATTTGGGTCCAGCCAGTGGACTGTACGGCAGAAGGCCTATGTGGAGGCCTTGGGTCTGGACACCATGTTCACCCCCCAGATTGTGCTTCAAGGTAGGGCCCAGTGTGTTGGCAATGATGAGAGTGCCTTGCTGTCGTCGATCAGGGGTGCACCTAGATACGCTGCACCGACGTTCCAGGTCTGTATTTTCTCATATATTTTTTATTTTTATTTTAAATTATTTGGATGCCTGTTTTTTTTCTTTTTCTTTTTTTAATTTAAAGAATTTTTTTAATTATATTTGCACAATTACTTACATGATGTCATCATACTTTTCCTTGCTTTTGTGATTGTGGTGGTGTAAAAATGTGATAGGCTGAATCAAATAAATTATGTCTCTATCTTCATCATTATTTAATCATCTTAAACTTTAATCTTAAAATGATCCTCATCCACTTTCTGGTACACCTAAAAGCCATGTTCACTTTTGACACTTTGAGAAATGGTGGGTGTCAAGTTTCAATGTGTCAACTTTAATTCAAAGCTAAAGCTAGTTCCCTTTTAAATTTGTAAAGTAAATTTTTATGACACGAATAATCTAAACTTGTCAGATATATCTGAAATGAAATGTTACGTTGTTAGACTGAGAAATTCTCGACATCTTCTAAATAATGATGCCCAACTACACGGCTATCCAACTATGATTCTTTGTAATTGGTTGTTTTGTGGATGAGCAGGCAACTTTCCAAAGGCCCTCCCCAGACTCCTTGCAAGTATCTCTAACAGGATCCTTAAGGTCAAAGGTGGATAGTTATGGTGCCAATGTGATGGTGGCGCTCTATGAAAACGGGCTGATCACAGACTGCCCCAAGGGAGAGAACCAAGGACGTGTCCTGTCCAGTGACTTTGTTGTCCGAAGACTTGAAAAGCTCTCTACTGTCAAAGACGTCTCTGCCAAGAAGACCATTTCGGGGACTCTCAACTTCCCCTTGTGGGAAGGCTTCAATCCCTCCAAGTGTGGTTTGGTCCTCTTTGTTCAAAACCCCTCCCATCAAATTTTTGGTTCGCAGAACTTTCAGCTGCCGGATAATTGACACGGTTATAGGCACTGAATAGCTTGTGTCTGTTGTGTTGTTGTTACTCCGGCAGGCCAGCCGAAGCTATTCAGTTGTCTTGTTGTTACTCCGGCAGGCTGGCCCGGCCAAGATTGCAGTAGGTTATGTACAGGATGTGTTCATAGTAGTATACTGATTTCTTTTTCTTTCTCAGTTTGGGTTTTTCTTTCTTGTTTCTGGGATTTGATATTTAGAAGATGGGAGAGATTTGCATTCATATATGAACATTCTTTTTCAGATTTGGACTTTGGTTGTTTGAATTGAATCACTATTTCTCGGCTTGAGCGATGAGGATAGTCAACTTGTGTGCTGTTTTCATTTGCTTTTCTCATTGATACTGAACAGAATCAAAATCAAACCAATTCAGACTGGTAGAATCCCTTCGTAATGGTTTGGTTCGAACAATCATATCCAGAAATTATCGAAAACAATTTTGGATGGAGATTTTCACCATTTCAACCATACAAATGGACAAGAAAGAAATGAATGTCAAGCTGAGAAGCGCGCTAAAATCCGGTAATTACAGGAAAACTCATTAAAGTTCTTACTATTGAAATGGTAAATCGAAGAAAGAACACTAGGGCATCTCAACATTGAAAATTTACAAGTACAACAAACACGCTGATACCAATAGAGCTTGTCACTTATTTTCATCCTAAAACAAAACTCATTATCTACAAGAGGGCAGCTTAGCCTGGATCCAGGTACCATGATCACAATTCCGCCCATCACACAAGTAATGGCATAATAACATGTTACTTTGTTTTACACCCATAATATTTCTGAATGCCAGTTACTTCCTCACCTTACCCCCCCTACCATTTATCCAAAGACCGATGAGCAAAAAGAATACAAAATTACAATATGAGAAATTTCCATTAAGGCCAAAAGCACTTACAGCAAAAGCTAATAACAATTTATACTGAATCTACTGCTCCAACTTGCTGCCGAGCCAAGTATTTCTCCCTTCGCTCCTTCTGAAAAACAGAACAAACCAAAAGATTATACACAAGAACATCATGTAAGAAATTTAGTCCATTGTATGTGCATGTATGGATCAGATGTAATGTTGGCAGGATTGTTACCCATTCATCTATTACAAGGCCTTCCCCGACATCACGAGGACCCGAGTCCACAGGAGGTTTTTTACGCACTTCAAGTGCAGCCTCAGCTTCGGCCAACTGTCTATTCAGTTTTTCCAGAGCCTGTAAACCAGAATGTCACTACTGGAAAAACAGCATCTACAAGATGGACGCACAAATACCATTAAACAAAATCAGATTCAACTTACAGGACTAGGGTGCTCTGCATCCAAAAATACAACCCGCAAAATTCGCTCAACAGTCACTTGATCCTTTTGTTCATCAAACTGTATGAAAAAAGGGCCAGTTGAAAAAATTAAGGTCATCGCTGGTATTTTCCTAGGAGCAAGAAAACAACACTAAATTTTACTGCAATCATATCCAACCAAAAAAAAACCCAATTTAAGCGAGCTACTAAGTTGAATCAAGACACCATAAACATAATCGGAACAATTAGAAAGTAGAACTCAAATACACCCAAAACATATGCAAGAAATGTTAAACATGCCATGATCATGAGCATTAAGTCGGGGGAAGAGCACTATATTACCAGCTCAGGCACATAGTCTGTTCCTGCTGTCACCTTCAGACTCACAATCTTGAACTTAACCTTGGTTCTCTGATCCAAATGTTTCTCATTGTTCTCGGGTTGTTCCACAAACCTAAACACTGTCATCATCAAAAGCATAGTCAAAACAAAAGATAACAACAATAAAATTCAAGACAATTTGTAACATCAGAGCAAGTGCAAGGCCATTACCAGTCGCAATTATGCTTTCTCCCGGAGCAAGTATACCTCCCGGAGGACGCATATAACAGCTCTTCGGTGCGGTAGTTTGAAACTAAAGCAGCACAAAAAAAGCAGTTTAATGGGTCACTGAAGTTTGATACCAAAATAAAAAATCATGGGACAAAATTAATAAATAGAAAACTGCAAGTAAGGCAGATATCAAAATCCATATAAACAAATGCAACACCAGTCACAACACAACCCATATAATAAATATTATCAGCATTCTAAATCCTTGCTTAGAACATAAGTAATTAAAATCAATATATAATTAAGAACACAGCTTTACGTTGATGTCAGGAATTAAAAAATACCTTGAAAGCTACATGAGACCTGCTAGTGTTCTTTAACCGGATTGCGCTCTTCACCTGTTTCCCAGGTTCATCTTCAAAATTAAACCCCATAAAAACACAATTGGTCAGTTTCAGTCCAAAATAATTCCAAAACAGGAAAGAAAAAAAAAAGTTACCGCTTATCTCAGCAGCATGTGAAGAGGAAAGAGAAGTCATAAAATAATTGCTTTTTTAAGAAGCGCTTTTAAAATAATGCTGGTAGAGTAAAGGAAAAGTCAAAATTCCAAACCCAAATGAAAATAAGTCATAGAAGTGACCAAAAGCTCGAAGTCAGCGAGGAGGTAGAAATGAAAAGAAAAACGACGACGTACAAGGGAAGTAGAGTTTGTTGGCAGGGTCGAGCCGGAGCCGACGGCGGGGAGGGAGAAGCGATCTGGCGACGGACGACACCGTTTTGGGCTTCGACTTGGATCCGTCGACGTGGCCCTGGAGGTTCTGCGTGGAAGAGGAAGAGGACGACGTTTGGCCCCCGGACTGCCAAAACGGGCAGAGAGCGAAGAGCTTCACGTCGGAGTGCGACTTGTGCCGGTGGTGATGGTGCTGGTGGTTGTCTACGATGGCCATGCTTTATTCACCGGAATCAGACACGTGGCATCCAATTAGCGTTTTCAAGAAGCTCGGCGATTGAGTTCGCGTTTTTCAGTTGGTTGCTTTAGAAATTTCTCTCTCTCACTCTCTCAGTCTATCTGTAATTTTTTTGGAGTGGAAGGTGCCAGGGTGTGCGACATAAATCGGATGTGAGGGAGGGATCAGCTGTGGCTCTTTTCAGTCTGAAATTTGTTGCTTTGACACGTGTGACTTTCCTATTCGTGAGTTCAGGTGTTATTTTCCTGCATTGAAGCTACGTGTCATATTGGCGACTGCCGTGCTTGAAAGGATAAATCGGATCGGATCTCAGTGACGAGAGCTTTATTTCAGTTGTGAACTCATGAGTTGTTGTGACTGAATTTTCCTAAAAACGACCTGCTATATGTCGTTTCGTGCTATCTCTGTCGTTGAAACTTGGAAGAGACGCGTTTTTGTACTCATTTTGGAATTATCAAAACTAATTTCCAATAAGATTACAACATCATAAAATATAATAAAATAAAAAGTTGAAACTTTCATAATTAAAACACTGATTTCATTGTAAATGTAGATTTCCACAATTAGTAAAGGTAATGTGTCCAACCGAGTTCGATTATCTCCCTTTATATTAGAATAATTACATATTAAATTCTAGCCTTTTTACTCCCAAAAACACCCTTATAGAGTCGTTTTCACTTTGAAGGGGGAGGAAGTCACTGTACTTCCTCTCCTTTCCCCTCTTCTCTTCCTTCCTATCTTCTTCCCTCATTTGCAGAAACAAAAAGTTTTCCCTATTTATTTTCGTTTTATTATGATTTTTCTCCAATCATCACAGGCAACTGCGTCTCGACGTCGAATCTCCATCACCGTCTTTTTTGTGGTTTCTTTATGTTCAGAATAAGTGACAGAGACTCTTTGGGTTCTCTATGTAGTTTTTACCTCTCCTTTTGTGCAAGTTTTTTACCTCTCCTTTTGTTATGGCTTGATTTTTTCAATTTTATATCTTTTTTATTATTCTGAATTTACAATCTTAATTGGGATACCTATGCCAGAATTTCTTCGATCATGCGTGATCATTAGTGGATGTGCACCAAATTGTCTTAATTTTGATGTTAGATTGCTCTGTTATTGTAATGGGCCTTTGTGACTAGTTTGTATTAGCCATTTGTAGCTAGTGGCTTTTTTGACTGAATTATAAATGCAATTCTAGAATTTCTCAACAAAAAAAAAATTAGAGTAATTAAAATTTCACTTTGTCACCAAAAAAAAAAAAAGACAAACACTTGCTTCATTTCACTTAAAAAATCAAAATAGAATGTTAGATTTTCTTTTCCTTTCTAATTTTGAAAAAAATGAAACAATGGAAATTAAGATTTGCGGTTGAGGTGGGTATGGTTCTTAATGATGGTAAGAAAATTAGGTGTGTTTTTTTTTGTAGTGCAATTAAGAAATGGAGTGGAAATTAGGTGGGGTGTTTGTTTAATGCATTTAGGAGGGTTGGCTAAGGTTGTCGGTGTGTATTTAGTGTGGGGGTTAGGAATTGATTAGGTGAATAATGACATTACTTGTGTGTATGTGTAAGTTGTTGGCTAACGAACTGTGCCTGAGTGGGACTTGAAAAATTAAAGATAAGGTTTGATCGTTTTGATCTCTCTGGGGAAAAAAAATTGGACAAAAAAAATAAAACTGGTTCGTGGGCCTCCAACCCTGGATTCTAACCACGATGACAACATTGAGCTTGAGCCCTAATAAGCCCCATACTTTAGGCCTTGACCCTTGGACCTCGAGCCCAAAACACAAGCCTTGTCCTTAAATTGTGAGCTCAAACTTCGAGCTCTACTATAGGACTCGAAACTTCGAGTTCTATTATAGAGCTCGAACTCTGACTATGAACTCGAGTTATGTCTTCAAACCTTGAGTCCCAAGCCTTAGGTATCAATCCTAGATCTTGGGTCTCGAGCCTTGGATTCGAACCTCGTGGAAACTCTGAGCCTTATACCTCGGGTCTCATTCATTTGAACACAAGATCAAAGGAGTAGAGTCCAAAATGAGCTCATAATGAAAACAAATGAAACACTATGGAAATGAAGGCCACATGACTTATAAACGAACAGTTCTTGTTATGTATATTGTATACTGTTACTAGTAAATCTTTTCTACAAAATTGATTGAAGTTATCCTAGGCCTAGCCATTCTTCTATCACCAGAAAGAACAAAACATAACAGGAAAAGAAAGATAGTTTCTTTCCTACACATAATTATCCCATGATCAACAAAACAGAGAGAAGAAATAGTTTCCTCAATTGGGTCCCCAGCAGATTAGCTGAATCAAAATTTCAGCCTTGTCTCTTCTTCTTCTCTCATCATCAAGGGTCATCCTATTTTCTTGGCTCACACCCCCAGCAGCAGCAATATTGCTCCACCTGGTTTTACCCCCATTGCCACCACCAGCAGCAGCAGCTGATGGCTCTGCAGCATTCATCTTCTGCTGCATCATGGACTTCAATTCCTTCTTAAACTTGCATATTTCACCACCCATTTGCTTTGTTTCTCTCTCTCTCTCTCTCTCTCTCTCTCTCTCTCCTTTGCTCAAAATCAGAGAGCAGTAAAGAAATGGCGTTTTTTTTCTTCTGGGTAAAGCAGATGTCTGTATGTTAGTTTATAAATACGGAGAAGAACCAGAGAGTTGGGTGGACAAAAAGCTTCTGGAAGGTTTGTGCAGCAGCAATATTGCTCCACCTGGTTTTGCCCCCATTGCCACCAGCAGCAGCAGCAGCTGATGGCTCTGCAGCATTCATCTTCTGCTGCATCATGGACTTCAATTCCTTCTTAAACTTGCATATTTCACCACCCATTTGCTTTGTTTCTCTCTCTCTCTCTCTCTCCTTTGCTCAAAATCAGAGAGCAGTAAAGAAATGGCGTTTTTTTTCTTCTGGGTAAAGCAGATGTCTGTATGTTAGTTTATAAATACGGAGAAGAACCAGAGAGTTGGGTGGACAAAAAGCTTCTGGAAGGTTTGTGGGGCAGTGGCCTTTTGGGAAACTGAGATTGAATTGGCAGGTTTTTTTAGCTCCCAGATTTGTGGCACTGGTTTTTCTAAATCCGCTGGATTCTCTGGTTTTTCTGTCGTTCTAGCATGTGATTAAAAGAATATAAAATTTAAATTAGATACATTTCTTTTTCAACAAAACAATAATAAACCTTTTTTCTTTTCTAATATTAGAAACCACAAATAGTTTGGGTTCACGAATCTATTTGACATCTAGCCGACCAGAAGGCCGGATTCGTTTTTTTACATTTAGCTTATTATGTTATTGCCGCCATAGTTATAGTTTAAAATCGCAATGAAATTTATAAAGTTTCACAGTTTATAAGGATTATGGCTATATATAAGTTCTATTCTAGGGCCAAACTTTACACTTTACGACTCCTTTGTGGAGAACCTGGATTATGGCTTTATACAGGTTGTAGAGTTGTAGTGGAGAACCTGGATTTGAGATATTGAAAACCAGAGGGTGGTCTCCATCGGTTTAGCCCAGGTTTGGATTTATAACCATGGGTGGGTTTTGGGCAGTAAGCAACCTAATTATGCATGATAGCGCTAAGATGTTTGTTGAAATGTCTCAAAGTCAATAATGGCGACCCCTATGTGTGGCCATGTTTAAGCTCAGCCCAAATTAGCTATCCTTTTTCTTCTCTTTCTGAAAGGTTACTTGAGTGACAAAGTTGGTTGAGATGCTTTGTTCTTATATCAAAAGGCTTTAAATTGAGCTGTATTGTACGCCTCTGCTCGCACCTAGTATTTAGATGACAAAACCATTTACTTAGCAGCATAATGCCGACTTATGCTAAACTATAGGAGAAGGGAGTTTATGACACACACACAACTAAGATGTCAATAGAGTTACTGGCGGACCTACACATGAGCAAGGAGGTGCACCTCCTCTCGCCGGAAAATCTTTTGGGGTGGCTAGAATTTGCCCCTTTGCTGGTGCCCACCATGTGTTCGATTAAATGTCTGAAAGAGACTTTGTAATATTCAATTTCTTTTGCTTCACATAAACTTGTTGTCTCCCAAAATTCTCTTAATGGTGTATCTCTATTTAATACATCTCCATGAGCTTTAACGTTGTCCTTTCTTAGATGGGTTCATGAGCTTTAACCCCCCTTATTTGGCATCCACCAGTGATTGGAGTCGAACATAAAACCTATGGTCTGCAAATTAAGACTCTTTTTCTACTGGGCTAAACCCTATTGGCAATGTCGGGCTATACCTTCTTTGTTTTTGTTACATTGGGAGGAAAGAAATCCCTTAGGCCATATTTGGTTCATGGGAAAGGGGGTTTGGGGATGGGAAATCAATTATTTTCTCATATTTGGTAAGTTCAGGCATGAGAAATGGTTGTTTGACACATAGAAAAGTAGAGAGGAAAGTGAAGCCCTCCTCTCAACTTGGGTTTTGTTTTCCCTCCTCATGGGAAAGTTTGGGAAAATAAGCCAACATTAAATGCACATTTTTCATGACCATTTTGTCTCCATTAACAATTTAGAATTACAATATATCATTAAATGCATTCTTTTTTTTATTTGATTTAATATGAGTATAATTGGAAAATTATACAAACTTTGTTTTCTATACAAAACAAACATGGGAAAAGAAATAAAGTAATATCTCCCAATTACTTTCCTAACATTACCAAACTAGGGAAATGAATCTTCCATTTCTCATCCCTTAGAAAATAACATGGGTAGTTATTTCCCCTTAAATCAGTTCGGTCAACCAAACAAAGCCTTCGGGTTTCGAACCTTAGTTTTGTCATTGCCTACGAAAAAGTTGGAGAAACTCTGTGCCTTCTCCCCCTATCCAGCCATATAATGTGAGCCCGGCCCATTATATTTTTCTCAAATGGTAGAAAATTCAGGGCGAAAATTTCAGTTCTTTATACCCAAAAAATCAAAAAACTCCAGTCCTGAGGGAGGCCAATTCTTTTTCTATGTAAATTACTTAAATCAACTTTAAAAATATCTCCGAGATCCTTTCAATGACCTATGTCATGTTGAAGGGATATTTATATAATCCGATCGATTGTGTAAAGTTTGCAAAGTCCGCGGTAGCTAAAGAACCGGGAGAAGTAAACAGAAAAGAGAGTCCTTTTCTATGATCCGATCTGCAAGGACCATGTTTGCGGATCCATGATTGGGAATTATTTGATCGTCCGTTTTATGATGTTAATAAAATAGATTTATTAAAATTGGGGCCGATGCACCTGCACCAATTTTGTTTGGAATTGTGGATTTGTTGATTTGTTATTCCCTTAGACATCCTTTGTGCAAGAAAAAAACCATCCAAATTCTACCACATTATTATTATGAGGCACTGATTAAAAGGAAATGCAAAACAGAACAGAAATATGAAAAAACCAATACGGCAAATTTCTCTTTTAATTCTATCAATTTAGTGAGGCAGCATTTAATCTCATTTCTTTTGGCCCAAGTTATATAACTTTTGCACTCAGCTTCATCAAAAAGAACAAAAACAGAAGAAGAAAAAAACATCCCTTCTTTGGATACAAACAGGGGAAAGAAAAAGAAAATGAAGCGAAAAGGATCAAAGAGTAATGAAATTAAGTCATGTAATTCATGGAAAGAGGGATTATATCCATCCACGAACTCAAAATCTAAAATCTAAAACCTAGTAGTGTTAGGACCCCAGCAGTTCAACTCCATGACTTTCCTCACCTTCTCCTCCTGTGACCTCTGCATCTTGTTAGAAATTGCTGAAGAAGAAGACCCAGAGAGTTTCTTGGCCTGGGAATATGATCTCATGTTATTCTTGGCATGTTGTTGCAGTGACCTCAAAACCCCATTCCACCTGCAAATTCCTTGGTCTTTCAGAGCCTCAACAGCTCCAATACTTGCTGCCACAATCCAAGCCCTGCAAGCTGCGTTCACCATTTTTGCAGATTTTTTTTTATGGTAACAGATTTTGAAGAAGATCTTTTATGGGTAATGGGTGGATGGGCGAAAGATGAAAGCTTTGAAGGGAGAGTTTAAATTGAAAGTCTGAATCTGGGGTTCTTGGTTTTTTGTTGTGGGTTAAAGGGTTGGACTATTCTCTATATATAAGCAGCTGATATAAGAAAAAAAGAGTGAAATCCAAGGCACTGGCACGGTGGCACCAATTGTTTAGGACAAAATCTGTGGTAATAGGTTTAGCAAAACCAGGTGCTGAGCTCTTGTTTTTGGGTCAGGCCCCAAAAAGAGGGGCTCTTCTTTATGGGAGCCAAAACCCACGCGCTTTCCTCTTTTTCATTTTTCATTTGTTTGGGATTTTTTTTTTCCTTCAAAAGGAATAAAATTTTCATTGAGCAAAAGAATAGTCACAACCGAGGAAGGGGGGATAGGGTATGCAATTCCCATATTCAGCCCCGTTAAGCTTTTTTCCCTCATCCCGTCTTCATGCCCATAATATTCATATCAGGGATTCCCCATCCCCACCTTCGTTGGGGAATGGGTTCCCCGACCCGCCCTATTATGAAAGAAAAAATCAATATATAATTACTTTGTTGAAAGAAAAAAAAGTACTAAGGCAAGATAATGGATATATATATAATATATTTATAAGACAATATAAGAATGTTTATATATTTATTGAAAATTAACTAAATAAATAAGTAGTGTGGCTTAAGATTTGTATAAATTATATAGTATATAATATAATAATAAAAGAATGGCCTCAATGTCATGAATTAAAAGAATGGCCTCTTCATACCCGTTTTATGTCCTTCATACCTGACCCACACCAACATGGAAAGAAGCAAAAGAATGGCCTCAATGTCATGAATTATATTGCTTTTCCAAGAAACTTGAAATTTTGGGGTTACAAAATAGCAAAGGCTTCCCACACCTTCCATTCACTTTCATATCCCACAAACAGACATCAATGAGGAATGAATCATGCTCCTATCCCATTATCCCTAAGTTGCGCTCCTTTATATGGAGAAGGACTCAAATGTCACAGGGATAACACTGTTTTATTATCTTCATCCAATCACGCTTCATTATGTAGAATCATTATCACGCGTGGCAGAACATGATTAGTTGAGAATAGCAAAACAATGATATTCTCGTGGTATACAAGTTTTTCTCCCTTTCTTTTTCTTCC